CAAAACTATTAATTATAGAGATTAAAAAAATGAGCAACTTTTTGTATCGGCACTATTTTCACATAACCTCCAATTTTCCTAAAAAAAACCGGGACAACTTTTTTTTCGTTTTTTATTCTTATTTTTGCGAAAAAAATGTCGTAAGGGTTTGAAATTTGGAGGAAACATAGCTTGTTTTATGATAAAAAAGAAGATAATTTTTTAGAACTGTAAAGATGAACCGTTTCCAAGATCTCACGATTTCTGAAAAAAACCACCTCTTTTTCAAGGGGATGAAAAATCTATTTTTTTTTCATGGTACAGAGGTGCGCGGAGTAGTAACATTTTCGTAACGACTTACATTTTAATAATCAAAAATAAAAAATATTCCAATAGAAAAATTTTAAGAAAAGCGGCAAAAACGGGGGGAACAGTTTTAAAATATACCGTTTTGAAAGTAGGTAAACAGGTCTTTTGACAAATAAATTAACGTATTGGATCCGCGCTAATAAAAAGTTTTTGAAATCTGTCTTCTCTCTCCTCTTTAATGTTGCTAAAATATTCTTTTTTGTTTCCTAGTGCCCAACTGCCTTAATTAAAACATCTTTATTATTTCTTTTTTCTGCATTTTTACCGCAATAAAAGCAATTTGAAGTAAAATACGAATTCTTTTGCTTCCTGAACAATTTGTTTTTGTCTTCTTCCTGCCTGTTTTACAGCTGATGAGATTAAGCTGAGCCTATATATTGATCGTTAATTTACAGAAATTATGAATAAAATCCTCATAGTTTATTCCAGGTTTTACCTCTCAAATTATCATTTGCTTTGGCCGGTAAAACTAACGTTCTTATTGCAGATTTTGCAAGTTTATCAACAGGCCCAACGCATTTGCATCCGCATAAAACAGGCAGGAATAAGAAGTCAGTGAACAAAAAGAAATTGTTCAGAAATCAGGAAGCAAGATAATCCGATTTTATTTCGAATTGCTTTATTGCGGTAAAAATGCAGAAAAAAGAAATAATAAAGATGTTTTAACTAAAACAGTTGACCATAAGATAACAAAAGAGAATATTTAAGCGAACATTAAAGAGAAGCAAGAAGACAGATTTCGAAAAAATCTTTATTAACATCCAACATGTTGATTTATATCATGTCACTGTATATCTTAAAACTGTTTTTCCAGTTTTTGGCGATTTTCTCGAATTTTTTGTTATAGGAATGTTTTTTTACTTTTGTTTATTAAAATATAAGCATTCCCGGAGCCGAGCGTATTTGTCATCAAACCCAAAAAATGATAATAAAATTTAAAAAATCTTATGTCGAAAATTTTGCTACCCCGCGCACGTCTGTACGATGAAAAAAATAGATTTTTCATCCCCTTGAAAAAAGGTGGTTTTTTCAGAAATCGTGAGATCTTGGAAACGGTTCAATTTTATGGGCCCAAAAATTATCTTCTTTTTTATCATAAAACAAGCTATGTTTTCTCCAAATTTCAAACCCCTACTACATTTTTTCGCAAAAATAGGAATAAAAATCGAAAAAAACAGTTTTTCCGAATTTTCTAGGAAAATTGGAGGTTATGTGAAAATAGTGCAGATACAAAAGTTGCTCAATTTTTTAATCTCTATAACTTTTACATTTAACATTTTCGTCTAAAATTAATAGTTTTGCCACAATTTGCAAAACACCACTTTCCACCCCTTTCAGCCCCCGGGATTTCACCGGCGGAAAAATTCAGCTGTTTTAAATATTTTTTCCCAATTTCTATTCATTTCACCTGCCTGAAAAACCCGGTTTCGCCCGGTAACTAATTTTTTTTGTAAAAAATATTATATATAACCTGTACAAAAATAATATAGTAGGTACATGGACTGCTATTAGCCCTATGCTTTCAATACAAAATGGGTGGTCACGGATAGAGGGGTCCACAAATAAGAACAAGTTTGCTTTTTTTGCCATATCTATTTATAGGCGATTAATTAATTGACGTTTTTTAATTTACAGATTGACAGCCTCAAATTGTGTCTGATCGGACAATTTCGGGCAGACTTGTTTACTCTGAAACGCACATACCCAGGCGATGTCCTTGACCATATTTTAGTTACAATTAGCAGTCCATGTACTATATGGTCTAAGAGACTGACTACATTTGATACTTTGAAATCGAGTTTGAAATGCAAGGTTACACAGTTACCTACTCACCGAGTCACCAATCTGGAAGTGGTGAGTGTGAGCTCCACAAGTGCATTCCACTGCATACTGATATGGCAGATGGTTTTTGACTGAAAAGTAATGTGAAACCTAGAAGTTAGTACTATTAAATAGCCATATATGTTCAACAGTAAGTTTTATAATGTACAAAATCTACATAGATAGATTACTTAAAACTAATTCAGCTCGTTCAAAACTCTGGTTTTTGATAACCAAGCAGTATATTATAATCAGCAGGCAGCCTAAAATATTCCTCCAGCATGATAACTTTGCACTTCTTATCAATCACAAATTTGTGGTCCCTCCACGGTAGTAGCGGGCTACTGCTTTCCACCTTCCGCACCTCATTTAATTTACAAAACACAGCTCTTCGTGATGTAGGCAACAGTCCGTAAAATATGAATACGTACTGTCCCTTCTCCGCAAAATTGTAAATACGAATTGGCATCGTGTTAACTAGTATATGTAAAACTACGCAGATAACCAACAGTCCAGAAAGTAAAACATACAAATGCTCTTCTTGCGGTTTGCGCTGCTCGTTTCCCCATTCAATCACCTTGGTCGTTGTAGCCGGTGCAAATAAATTTATATACAAAGCTCCCGCACATAAACAAAGTACTATTCCAAATGTACAAATACGAGTGAGTAGTAAGTATTTACTCATGCCATTTTTGTAAATGACATCGAAATAGGAAGGAATCTTGTCCCGTATTTTTACTTCTGCGTCCGAAGGCCGCTTGAAGAACTTTAAGAAATATGTTCTGGTTGTGACATTTTTTGGTTTAAAAACTGGAACCCTCTTCAATACAGAAAGCGGACGGTAACAGGGTACAAAGAAAACTTTTTGCATATTATATACAAACTTTATATTAGGACATAATCGCGAGAATAAAAATGCCGACATTATTTTTGTTAGATTTTTTGGTTATTTCTAAAAATAACCAAACATAATTTGTATAAGTAGTTCCCAATTATATGAGTAGTTCCAATGTACTCGTGAGAATGTTTCTTGTTGTCTACAGGATGCAACAAAATTAGGTAATAGGTATGTCAAAAAAATTTGGCGAAGAGACCAAAGCAAGTATTTTTTCCAGTTAAACTGAGGGTCTAAAATGTGACGTTTGTTACGTTAGTTAGAGGATTTTTGGACGCTTACGCGCAATTGCCGGGAATGGTGCATTTCCTATTAAATTCATTGACATCCAGTTCATAAAATACCGTGACAATTCAAGGTTTCCCGATTATCGCGTCTTGTCGCCAACCCCTAATTATATGACTGAGGCATTGGCGGCAAGCAGTCAATATTAATTTAGGTATCTATCAACCCAATAGGTAAAAGATTGATTATTATTATTTACACCACGAAACTTTTATTGTACCACAATTTGAATTAAACTCAAACACAATAACACAAAAAACAAACAACTCAATAACGACCCAACAGTTTTTCTGATGTAGTGTTATATCATTAAATTTGTTCCTTTCAATGTGATCTCAGGAGATTTGAAGATAAACGCCTAGTGTACCCCCAAAAATTGTTGCTCAAAGTTAAATTTATTATTTGTCGCAAGTAGCACATTAAAAAAACTTAAACATTTTTATGTGTAATAAAGAATTTATTTGAAGAGATGTTTATTTTGTGTCCTATAATCACGAGTCGTACATCCGAGCAGATCCTTAGAAACTTTTATGTGTTAAAAGATGTTGTTTGATGTTGCGTTTATGATTTGTCTCATAATCACAATCGGCACATTTAAAATCCTTCAAAACTTTATGTGTTAAAAGATGTGGTCGGAGGTTGCGTTTATGTTTTGTTTTATACTCGCAATGAAGACATTTAAAATCCTTAAAAACTTTATGGGTTATAAGATGTTGTTTGAAGAGCTGTTTATCATTTGTCCCATAATTACATTCGGCACATTTAAAATCCTTAGAAACTTTATGATTTAAAATATGTTGTTTGATGTAGCGTTTATGATTTGTCCCATAATCACAATAGTCACATTTAAAATCTTTCAAAACTTTATGTGTTAAAAGATGTTGTTTGAAGTTGCTTTTATTATTTGTCCCATAGTCACAATTACCACATTTAAACTCCTTGGAAACTTTATGTGCTAAAAGATGTTGTTTGAAGTTGAACTTATTATTTGTCTTATAATCACAATTACAACATTTCAAATCCTTTGAAGTTTTATGTTGTAAAACGTGTCTGTTAAAGTTATATTTATTGTTTGTTTTATAATCACAATCATCACATTTAAAATCTTTACAAATTTTATGTTTTAAAATATGTCGTTTGAAGTTACGTTTACTATTTGTTCCATAATCACAATCAGCACATTTAAAATCCGTTGAAACTTTATGTTTTGAAAGATGTCGAATGAAGTGTTGTTTATTATTTGTCTCATAATGACAATTAGCACATTTAAAATCCTTCAAAGCTTTATGTGTTAAAAGATGTTGTTTAAAGTTGCTTTTATTATTTGTTCCATACTCACAATTACCACATTTCAAATCCTTCGAAACTTTATGTTGTGAAAGGTGTCGGTTAAAATTAAATTTATTGTTTGTCTCATAATAACAATCACCACACTTAAAATGTTTCGAAACTTTATGTTTTAAAAGGTGTCGGTTAAAGATATATTTATTATTTGTCCCATAATCACAATCAGCACATGTAAAATCCTTAGAGACTGTTTGACACAGAGTTAAAAGGTTACATTGAAAGTCAGAGTGTTGCTGCACTTCTTCTTTATAAATTTTAGAACACTGTACATTAATAGTAATTTCATCTTTTATATCGTCTTTTATTATACCAAAAGCATCGTTGCCCACCCAAATATTTCCCTGAAGAGAGGAATGGATTCCTTCTTCCTGTTTTGGTTCGATTTTAACAAATTGTGTCCCACCATCTCCGTCCATATCTAAGAATAATAACTTTATCAAAAAGTATGTTACACTCTATTTTATTTTTGTAGGTCTAAAATCTGTTTAGGTACAGCATTAATAGTAACATAAGTATTTACCTACAGGCATTGAATATGTTATGCATACTTGTTTTGTTAGCTTGGGCCATTGACGTGGTATTTTTTTAACGTCCTTGGTTTGAGCATGGCTAATTTACAGAGGTGCCAAGTGCTACAGGTACCTACAATACTAATGTGTATTATTTTAAACAAATGTTATTCCAGATTGTTAATACTGTACGTACTGTGACTGTGAAGTGATATTACCTTACCTTCATCTCTGCCCTTCGCCCCTTTCGCTCCTTATGGTAATGTAATATATATACAGTGTGTCCAATATAAGAAGGAAAAGCAAGTAAGTCAAATGATATTTTAAAAATTTGTAAATTCCGATCAGTTCCGAAAAAAAAACGAAATTAATCATATTCGGTTTTATTTTTTGCCGGCCCTGTTTGAAAAGATATCAAAAAACAAATAACACTTCCTCATAGGAACTTTTTAAGCTGTACAATTGGCGTCTTTCAGAAACCATCAACCACGATGGATTAATAACATTCAATCAAATCAATAACATTCTTTATCACCTATACATCATTTAATTTTAAAGGAACCATATCAATGAATTATTTGATATTTTGTCAACGACTACGTACTACAGTAAAATGTTAAAAATTATTTATTATGTAGCTCAGAAAAATGGCTTGTTACTAAATTTTTAACATTTTTGGTTTAGTAGGCGTTGACAAAATGTCAAAATAATTTGTTCTTCTAAATGACAAATTATACCATACATAATTGTATTCGTAATAAAAAATCCTACTCAATACATTATGTACTTTTTTCCGGTCCATATAAAAATATGAAGTTGATGATGGTTTCTCAAAGACGAAACGTCGCAGCGAAAATCTTGTAAAATGGTGAGCTTAAACAGTTACTTTCGGTTTTTTTAAATATCTTCGGAACTGATCGGAATTTCCACATTTTTAAAACATCGTTTTCCTAATCCTTATTACTCAACGGTTTTATTAAGCCCTAAAATGCACAACACTTTCTAATTTAACCAACTGTGTACTTCTTATGGTTTCCGATGTGTCCATGATGTTCATTCTTATCTTGAACACTCTGTATTTTGTAATCTTTTCTCCATGTTTTAAAGAAGCGCAATCTCGGATCAAAAAGCTCCAAACCTTGAACTTAAAAAAATTTTCGGAGAAGGACCTTCCGGTCCTTACATTTTTGTTGGGGGGTATTTAATACCTCCACGCGCAGGTGGGGGGGGGGGCGCAAACTTGAAGTGCCGCCAAGGGCGCGGTCATATCTAGTTACGGCCCTGGCCCCACCTTGAACAAACATTTTGAAACAGAGGGATAACGGATAACCGCATATGATACGTAATTATTAGGTCTTAAATCATTATAGATATATCCACAAAACACTGTTTTGTTTGTGGCAAGGTCCGTGGTTTGTGGCGGATGTAGCGTTTCATTATTTTTCTTTGATTATGTAGGTAGTACATCTACATATATAATCAAAGTTAGTTTCATTAGAAGCATATGTGCCAACGTATCTAACAAAGACAGAGATATAGTTTGCACCATAAGTAAAACACCGCACATGCGCAATAGCATTTTAACACGAAACTACCAAGAATTTAATATGTGTCCAGTGTGTGTAACATTCAACGAATCTTGGAGGATTCACATACAAGGTCACCAACGATTTAAAAGTGTGCCCAGTGTGATGTCGTCATCAACCATAAAGCCTTAAAGCACCTCCAATCATCTAACATTTGTAAAAACATGAACCCGCTCGCCCAGCATTTAAAATGTGTCCGGCGTGATTTGAACGAAATGCGGTGTTCTGTGGTTGGACGTATCACAGCTAATTTATTCCCCTTTTTATAGTGCGTTTCATAAAGGAACACTTTGATTTACAGAGACCAAGGTTGTGGAGTAAGCGCGTGGTTGCTATGAATTCAAGATCAAGTGCGCCATCGGAAAGAGTTGCTGTCAAGTCACCTTTCGAATTTTTGTATACATGGGAAATCATATTTAATTTGAACCCTTCCAAAGGAGACTTGACGTCATTTTAAGCCTTCATTTACCGTTTGAGTTTAAAGTTTTAAAACCATAGTAACCAATCCAGAAGGGCAAGCCTAGCGTACCGATCTAAAATCTACCTTGGAAAATTGATAAAAACAATGAATGGAAAACCTCGTAACAATTTAGACATTCATTGGGTCGAATATAATACGAAATTGGATAAGTTAGCTTCAGCTATAAACCTATAATACAAAGTTATCATAACTTTGTGAATTGACATTTTATTATGAAACGGTAGGAGTTAAAAGAAACACAATTAAATTTACAAGACATTTACTGCGTTTCCACCATTGTTTCATTCTTTCTCACCACGTAGATCCATTTGGAAATGGCATATTAACCAATTAGCTGTGGCCTGTGACTGGCACAGATACCATCCCTACACCTGCGCATGCGCGCGATTCTGTCCAAAAGCGTTACAGCACTTTCCGAATATGTGTACAAAGTTTGGTTCAACCTTTAGCCGGAAATGAAAGTACAGACAGACGACCGACATCCTCAAGATTTGTGCGATTCAGAATCCTGGTGCTTCAATACGTGTATTTCTGTGAAAAAAGTGAGGGGTCCTACAAAGCCTAAGTAAAAACATATTTTTTTTTGAATATTTTAAGAATTCTCCATTACTAATTAATTATGTCACATTGATTGTTTACAGTAAAACTTTAACTAACATCTAAAGTACTACCATTGTTTACATACTTGTACTACCTATATTTACAAATACATATAACAAAATTATTTATTTAAAACATCTTTTCTATAGCGCTTGTATCTGCTGCCCTTCCTAGTGCACGCAAGATTCTTAGGAACATTGCATAAATCCATCGATCTATTTTATTCTTCCTGAAATAATCTCTGAATTATGATTACCTACACCTCTCATTTCAGATCTCACAATAATTTAATTTCAAAATACACCATTGTTGGAATGTTGTAAATTTTTGAAAGGACACTATGCGAACTTGCAAATGCACGCCTAGTTGCACATCGAGCAAGTATCTCGTATCGGTCAATTGGATTTCCATGTTCCTGAGCAATACTTCGTATAGTATTAAGGTTTCTGAAAGTAAAAAAATAACGCATAAGTCTCATGAAGTGGAGTAGGTATACTGTTATTGGAGTAAAGCAAAGGTTACCTAAGCACCAAAAGAAGAGAAGGTGGTATATGCTTCAATACTGACATCACCATATCAAATCGTTTTGCAGCGAATTCTTTCATGTAACTAACGTCCTCTTCGGTTACTCTTGTTGTTAATTTAAAATTTGTCCGCTTTAGTGGCGTTTGCGTGAGTATTTCAGCAAACATTACATAATCTGCAATTATAGATTACTCTTACAACAAGATCAGTTGTCCTAATATTTGCACAAAACCACCTTACAACATTACCTAGGTTTATGGTATCCTATTTTGTAAAAAAATTAAATTTTGGGACTCAAATAGTAGGGGAGCCCAATAAGGGACTTTGGGATTTACTCGAGCGCGTCAGATTAAAGTAAGGTGGGTTGACTACGTGTTGAAAAGTGTGCATTTCAATAATCTGACGATCATAATCGTTTCTTTACATTACTAAAAACCTTTAGTAGATACGCCCCCCACAACTGGAGGGATGTAAATCATATGTATAACTTTTTTTCTTTCTGCTCTAATCTACAAAGTTTCAATAGGTCCCTACGACGCTCGAGTAAATACCCACTTAAACGAAACGAAACATTTGGTACCGTCCCCCCTGCAACTTTTTTGACATGCCCCACGTTCTCACCATCAACGCCTAATTCTTTAGAATACTTCCTCATTTGATCATGATCTTGTAACACAATAGCTTTCCACATACAACTTAACGACGTTCGATCCCTTTCACTAATCGTCTCGTACAATCCATGATCCAAAAGCACAAGCTGAGCGTCTTTACCATTCTTACGAATAATCACTGCGACAGTTACATGTTACAAACGCGAAACTATGTGCGTTTTATACCGTTCCCAGAATGTGGATCAGCGTGAACAAAACCAGTTTGGAAAATCTGCTCACCGAACGCTTCAAATAATTTTTTATTAATGTCCGCCAAATCAAAACCGTTACTGATCAATTTTTTAACTTCGGAGATTTTGTAACCTTCGATGTATTCTGCAACAAGAACCCTCTATAACAAATTTGTAGATATGTCTTTACCATCCATACAGTAGTTAAGGGCCAGTTCGCCCCTAGGGTTTTCGTGACGAACTACGATGTTATGGGTCACGCCTAATTTGTATTTAGGATATGCTAAGCTCTCGATTATTTTTTGGTTAATTTAATATGTGACATATTGTTGTAGTAATGTAGACGGAGGATTATAAAAGGGTTATGTTTTGGTATCATGGTATAGATAATTAAAAAATGAATATATTTTCATTGTAATATTTACTGCAATTGGTATTTTTAGTTGCAGAAAATCCACTTAAGAGCTGTAATCGCCAAAAAATCTTAAGAAAAAAGACCCCTTATACGAATATTGTACGAATAAAAGTAAAAATACGATTACCCAAACTCGATAATCGAGAGGAAAGACTATATGTGATATTATCGTGAATGCGTGCAGCGCTCTTATCTTAATACAACTCAGTTGTAATAAAGTCAGCATTTCTCGTCGAAAGTCGCTGCACAAGATTTACATTTTCACCAAAAAAGAGGTAACATCAGTCCCTCCGACCGCTTTACGAAGAGAAGATTTGACATCGTCCGCACCAAATCAGCAACAGAAAGTACTTTCAGTGAGAGAAAAAAGCAGAAAGTTTAATCCTCGGAAGACCTTCGACTAATAGCGAGTCGCGCCTGTTTTATATACAGAGCGCAGTTTACGAAAAGCTCGCAACGTATTTACATTGGTCATCGGGCAATTGGCCATCTATGTGCAAGTGTACTGAATTGTAAAAAATGTACTGGAACCAGATTACTGTTTCCCAATTCGCGCAGTCAATTACGAGGATATTCATTGATAGACATTACTATGGATTGGATTACATTTGCTTGTTTCTAAATATTTGCGGGAACAGAATAATTTCCTCTTATATTGCGTTTGTAATTTCGCCGCATCGGCAGTCAGCCGCGTTATAAATATTTTGTTGTCATTTAGCGAAATTTGTTTTCAAAGTTTCAGTTATCTATTTCAGCTGCCTCAATGCTCATTCCTTAACGTGTGTTCTGTAAATCATAAATGGACATCGAGCGTATGTAATTATTGTTGGACAGATAGAGAATTCAAAATAAACGTGTGAGAAATGAAAAAACTAAAAAATTTAAAGCAAGCGAAAAATTAAAAATAGAAAAAAATAAAATGATAAACCTTAATAATCCGAAGAATTGTATGCATCTAGCAGTTATGAGTCAGCTCGATCTGGGTGGTACAAATAGTACTCCTACGTTGTACTATACTATGTATATTGCGTTCTTTTTATGTGAAAAGACATGAGGCACAATCGGGAAGGGATTGGAATAAAACTTAGTTTTGTACGTAAGAAAATATTGTATTAGGTACGCACGAAAATGGGCAGGAAAACAACCTTTATTGGACAGGAAAACAACCTTTATTGGACAATAAAAAACCTGGCATGTACACACACGAACACCCTCCCACAAATACAAGACATAAAACAATTATAGAGACTATAGAGTCAAATACAGTTAAAGATATTAATAAAAGGAGTACATGCGGCATAATAAATATACAAATGGTAAACAAATTAATCAGTTTAATATAAAAACACAACTAAGGTTCAATTTAGCCAAAACAAAACAACCCGTTGAAAGGTTCCACTGTATATACAACTTGCGACGATACATATAGCGTTTTCGATTGGCAAAATTCGTGCTGCACGAGTGCAATTTTTACGTTCTATTGGTAATTTTAGGGCAATTTTCTGTGTTCCATTGGCAAATGTGATGCAGCAATTACGCATTCAGTGCAAATTTTGACGCACGAGGTCGGAGAGCTCGTGGAGCAAATTTTCAAAATAAAAGTGCGACAATTTGAATTTGTTTCTTGCGTTGGAGAGTTTTTTGTTGTCATCTAGCGATAGCGAAGATGATGAACTAGCCATATAACTTCTACTTTACGAAAAGTTGCATTTACTATTTAAACTGAACGCCAAAAATTGGTTCTTTACAGGAATTTCAAATTTATATTCCTCATTGTTTATCATAAATAATAGTGAAATCGTTTCAGGCATTTTTTAGAATACAGATTTGTCGATTACCTAAATCATTGTATAAATACAAATCTAAAATGAGGTTATGGACAAATGATAACAAATATTTATGTTCCATTGAGAGCAATTTTCACATGCATTTCTTCAGTTTCTCGTGCAACACTCGTGCAGTACGAGTTTTGCCAATCGAAAACGCTAATACATTGTTGAGAGTTGGCAACCATGCAATTTCTAGGTGGGAAAAAGCTGCCTGCGCCACCTAAAAAGCATGAACAGGGGTTACGTTTGGGTTTGGCATCTTGTCTTGAATGGCGGTCGTGAACGCGACGCTTCATAAATGTTTGTTGTTATTTTGTGTTATTTAATGTAGGCATTTCTTTATATCGTATTTGTCTTTTGTATACCGCATTTTATATTTTTTGTGTGTTTCAATCTGTTTTTGAAATTTACTTGGTTTAACCGCAATGTAGAATCATATGTAATACCGTTATGCTATTGTTTGTAATTGTTTACGTTTTTAGTGTATTGCTTGCTCAATTTATGTTTATTGATGTTGGTTACTTGGTCTTGTCCCTGAAGTAATATTCATATAAGTTTGGATCATTTTATTTTAATATGTGGAAATTACCGGTTCGTTTGTTGTATGTACTGACTTGTTGTTTGTAACTAACATTTTCTCTGCGAATGAAGCAGTCACGGTGGTGGTAAAAACTGTAATCAAAATTGAGCTACAACACCTAATTCCGTGATTGTCTTCGACCCCGAACGAGTGGCGACGCTACCTATCTTGCGGGGGCGAGATTATACTAATCAAAACAGTTTAGACTCTATATGTGCGTAAATGAGTTACGATTCGTAATTTCCACATATCTTGTTTTTAGTTAAATTTGTATTTCCCCCTTTCTTAGAATCTTAGTACCTGCTTATCTGACCCATAATTCCCAAAACTTGTTTTTAACCTAGATGTTATCTCTTGAAATTTACCTGCTACTTTTTGTATTGTTATAATTTTATGTTACGCATTCACATCATTACAAAACAATTAATTTTACTACACAATTTAATATTAATTTGACGGCTGGTTTTTTTTATTGGTAAGTTCTTTTTGTCCCAGTCTATTTCTATTTTTATTCGGTGTACTACCATTTTCAAAGTTTATTTTTGCAATGTAATTTATTTTGGATTTAAATTTCCAAGCTTTTACAATCATAATAATTACGATCATTATTAAACAAACTTTTCACAATTTCAGTGTTTTATTTAACGTTCCTTCCCTACTGTGCTTCAGGTCAAAGCGTTGTCTACAACTAACGCAAGGGCCCTGCCTATGTTTTATCACGTGCCACTTTTCAAATTTAAGCGGGATTTTGTTTAGTTTTGGAGGGAATAGTCATTCGGGTGGCAATTTTTAAACGTTGCCGGGTTGACTTTATTTCCGTGTTCTTGTACTGTGAAGTTAGCGTAGAACCTGGGGGTTAAGTACACTACACCGTGAAATGATAAATTGCATATACATAAAAAATAATATCAAATGGCATCGCTCTACCCCAGCATCAGCTTCCATTAATTTAACACGAAAAACTACAGATGAAAACGCAAGCAGTATTCATGTTAAAGTCAATTATCACAAGTAGAACCACATACTAAACAGAAGAAAAGTGAATTAGAGGGCACCCCTTCTGTAATTGCTAAGACACAAGGGCTGCAGTCCACACAAGATGAGAGAGCAACATGTATGAGGTACTCACTCCACGGAGTAAAAGGTAAGTCGAACCGTACAGGGCAACACTACACCAATAATACACTTCCACACGAATAAATGCTTAATAAAACATCCTGTACATGATTCAGTAATGGTACCTACATATAAAACAAAGCTTGGAGCACGCTATGCTTTTGAATAAACAAATAACATGCAATGTAAATAATAACACATTGCGACACGAAATTTCAGATTTACGGTTACTACCAGAAAGAATAAAATGATTATTAACTTCTTTGCGAAAATCCCTGTTTTTCGGCAGTTGCACAGAACGCGCAGGATTGGTGTATACAGAACGTTTTGTATTTTATTCCATGGCGCGCTATTCCTTCTGATGTAAAGTGTGTTGCCTAACCGTAGAGGTATATCCACAGTTTCAAAAATTATATAGGGAGGTGATGAAAAATAAAGTGCTAACTCCCTAGAAATTACCAAGGCCATTTCATATAATAATAAGTTTCATATTAAGGCCGTTCCATGTTCTGGGATGCATTGCATGTTCTATATGGTACATTGAACACCTAGAGACTACCACCAAAGAGTAAGGGTACTCTTTGCTACCCCACCCAAACCTATAGACATAATCCTACTGTAGAACGTGTTGCGTTAAAAAAATGGGAGGAGCAAGCTGGCCTTTAACTACTACCAATAGACTTACCGAACTGCACAGGTCCCAGTAAACTTTTGGAACGTGGACGTACCTTAAGTGACTTAGATCTCTGGCGCACTTTTCCGAATTGCGGCCCTCATTTATAAAATCTAATTCTTGCCGTAAAGAGTCTTTTAAATCGTCAACCACCCACTTAAAATTAAAATCGGAATGTAAAAGTCCAATAATGTTCATTATAAACTCGATGGTAGCAATATCGCCGTCGAAACGTTTTTGCAAGTCGATGTATTGCACTTTTACGGCCACTTTCTTATTATCCTTAGTCGTGGCTTTGAAAACCTACAATTGATTGGTACACCATTCATATTGATAGAGCAAACCTGAGCTAAACTGGCAGCTGCGATAGGCTCGTGATCAAACTCCCTGAACATATCGTCAGGTGTTTTCTTGAAGTCTTCCAAAAACAAAACGCGCACCTCGTCGGGTTTGCGCTTTAGACATTTGTCTTGCAACTGCTTTAACGTCTCTGTATACTGAGGGGGTAAAATATGGTTCATGCAGACTAATCCTTGGCCAAGTTTGATGTAACTTCCGCCGTTAATTAGGCAGCCGTTTAGCAAACGGTCTGCGGCTCTTTGATGTATTCGTCCCATCATTACGTTATAGTTGGGCATCGCTTCATTTAGGCCTAGTTGTGAAAATGTGTAATCAAACGAGATGATCAAACCTATTTTCATCGAGCTAAAAATCATTGGGATAAACTAAAGGTTTAGGTATTAACGCTAAATTACCGTAAGAATCTCAAAAGGCCGCTGACGACTGGTATTTGATCCCTTGCAGTTGGAGCTTCTGTGGAGGATATCGCTAGGGCTCCTCCACCGGCTGCGCATAATGTGGACAACTTGTAAAGCTTTGAGGATCGTCTGACAGTGGAGTTGGCGAGTCCTCGCCATATATTGTTAGTTGGCTGACTATGCAAGAACTTCATAATCTGAAAAATAAGTCATCATTTTGTAAGTAAAGTGCGATTTACATTATATCACTTTTGATGTACATCCAAAGTGAATCACTCAGAGTGAAATCATCCAGGATGATCATCCTCGTTTACATATTTTCATCCAGTTTGCTGGTTTCACAGTGTCAGTGAAAAGTGAAAGGCTAGTGTAGGGGCGATGTCTCGTGCTCGTTCAAGAAGGAATCAAAAAAAATTACGCAGAGGCATTGCGTTAATTTCACATGGACTGCTACATGAAGTTAACGCAATGTTATCGACACGTAAACGTGCTCAAAGACGTTGGTGGGTGAAGCCATGGGTTTCAAGGAGAACAAAGCTTCGTCAACCCTGTTAAGAGAATGGGCAGAGGAAAATCCTGAGGTGTATAGAAATCACTTAAGAATGACCGAGGAGCAATTCGCATATCTTCTAGACAAAGTAACTCCGTTTATAAGCAAAAAAGATACTTGGTTCCGAGAAGCTTTAAGCCCTAAAATAAAACTACAAATGACACTACGATATCTAGCGACTGGAGATAATATAGGTACCTTAAGTGCACTGTACAGAATTCCAAGAAGCACATTTTCACGGTTTTTGCCTGAGGTATGCAAGGCTATATACAACGCTTTGGCAGATTTTATAATGGAAATTTAACATCTTGTAGTTTAATTAATTCATAGGTTAACAGAATAAAAAGTTTATAGTATAAAAAGTTTCAAATAGTTAAGTTATTTTGAAAATATTTTTTATTTCTATAAAATAACGTAATTTATTATAAAGGCATTAATTCATCACCAACTATTAATCCCGCTGAAGAAAGGGCATCGGACAAAACATCACTGGTATATTGAGTGCTTTCATAATCGTCATCTTTTTCGGTAGATTGGTAGTAATGGTTTTGTGACTGCCGTGAATGTGTGCTGCTTTGCCCTGATGACATCGCAGAGTACCGGCCTGAAGTTGGTATGGACTGTTGATAATCAGCAGGTGACATGGATGAGTGAGACTGAGGGTTTGATGTGAGTTGGAAGGGTCGTTCTTGCGTCATCACTTTCTGTAGATGTTCTTGACAGATAAGAGCCCTATTTAAAGGCATTTTTTTCAACTGTATAGCAAGGCTCTCACAAAACACGTCGAATTCGTTCAGATCCTCCTTATTTTCTTCCGATAGTGTCTTCAATTGTTTTATTGCGTCCTGAACCCCCGAAATAGTAGTATTGAGGGAACGTTTACGCCCCTTTGTGTTTTTTGGAGTATTCGTAATTACCGCCGAAGACGTTGCAATCGTATTTGGAGATGTTGCCTCAGTGTCTTGAATGTGTGCTGTTTGCTCAGTTTGCTGTTCAGTGTCCTGAATGTGTGCCGTTTGCCCAGTTTGCTGTTCACGTTCTTCCAAATGTTGGCTATCATCGGTTGCTTTTCCAGAAATGCCCTTTCTCGTCGATTCTAACTCCTGAAACAAAGTACATGAAATTACATGAAATCAGTCATTCCAGAAAGCAATTGAAAGTTGATACAGATACAAAGCTCTAAAAATAGAATAATGTACACTGTCTAATAATTATTGCTTGATACAGGTCCCTAACACAGTTGAAAGCTGGGAAAATGTGATGCGAGACTACGAAACTTTGTGGAATTTCCCAAATGTGTGTGGGGCTATGGACGGTAAGCACGTTACCATCAGGTGTCCTCCAAACACTGGTTCACAGTATTTTAATTACAAGAAAGACTTCAGTACGATACTATTCGCAATTGTTGATGCCAATTATAATTTCATATACATCGATGTGGGAACCAATGGAAGAGTAAATGACGCTGCAGTATTTGCGAAATCAACTTTTAATGAGGCCTTGCAAAATAATTCACTGAATATACCGGAACAAGGAATTTTCGTCGCTGACGATGCCTTCCCATTGAGAACCAATATTTTAAAACCCTATTCCAGATGTGGTCCGCTAACGGAAAAACAAAAAATATTCAATTACAGACTTTCAAGAGCTCGTCGCGTTGTGGAAAACACATTCGGCATACTTGTGTCGAAATTTAGAATCTTTGAGAAACCTATTCCACTATCCATACAAACAACGGAACAAGTGGTAAAGACTACATGCGCTCTTCACAACTGGTTGCGAAAGACTTCAACTCCCATATACCCATACATCCCGAGAGATATGCTGGATGTTGAAAACTGGGAAGAAGGAAGGGTTCAACCAGGTACCGCTACCCAACATCCACATAGTGGTCTTGAGGAAATATCCCACGGTGCATTAAATAACTACTGCAGGGCAGCAAGAGACGTACGAAATTATTATGCTGAACGTTTTGTTACAACAGACATTGTACCATGGCAATTGAAAATGATTTAGTAATCAACAAATTTAAAAAAAATAAATAAATATCTTGTTTTTGGCTTTGAAATTGATATTTCATTTGGTTTGTGAATTATTATTAGCAAAAATTAATCATACATCATTTTGTGAAAAAGAAATAATTACGTAAGTATATGTATGTACCTATTTCTATTTGAGAGTACTCACCTTCAAGTTTGATGAACTTTCTTTTGGAGTGCATATGCTGCGGAGAAACACGTCTGCAAGTTTAAACCAGAATAGTCTGGGCTCATAAACGTCATCAGCACTAGCTCCACTTCTTTCTGAATTTTTTATCTTGCAAAGTTCTGCCCCATAACGTGTTCTAATAGTTTTTATTTTTGCCTTGATGTCGGGTACAGTTAATCCAGGCAAATTTAAATCGGCCAGCATTGATAAGTACGCTTTTTCCCGTACGTTTGATTTGCTGTAATCACTGCATTTATTATTCCACAAGCACTCATACCGCTGATAACTTTCTAGGAATAGTTCCATGTGTTTATCTTGCCACCTGAATGAGATTGCCACGACAATAGGTATGCACAAAACTCGGCACAAAACTCCTACAATAATTTAAATCAAATAAAACTACCTACTTAAAACTACGCGAATACCAAAACCCAAAACAATCAACTAGTGTTTGTGAAGTGAACGTGCGTCGGCAGTTTACATTTGTCACTGGGCATTCACTCTCGATGAATCATCGCTTCGATGAACGACTCTTTCATCAAAAGTTGGTCGTCTTTCATCTTTAGTGTACACTTTGGATGAAATCACAATGAAAGGCAATTTATACTTGTCACTTTGGATGATTCCTCCAAGATGATCATCAAAAGTGACAAATGTAATTGGGCCTTAAGTGAATGCAAGGAAAGCCATTGGAAAATTGAATTGAATCAGTCAAATGGAAAAGTATGAAATACACATAATAAACAATAAGGCTTTTTCAATGCCAGATCAGAGGTTTCCACGGTCATCTGATGGCTTTTTACTGGTGTTGTCGATGCTCCAGAATATTAATAATAATAATATGCATTTATTGGCAAATGGAGTTCACAACTAACAAAATTAATACATCCATTACAAAATTATTCTCGAATAATTGCGACCATATTGCTTTTATCATGTACAGTAGATAATGTATCGGCGTGACTCGCAGAGAACACGAACAACTTTCACATAAAAAAGTTATGAACGCTTTTAAGCAGTTTTTAGAACCATATAATTCTTGTTTTCACAGTAACACTTTCATAAATGTTTAACATTTATGAAATTGTTACTGTCTAAATGAACAGGAGGAGGAAAAACAAGCTGAAGAAAATACTGTAGCGAATTTTCTAGAAATCACGATAGACATCAAACCGCCATAAAAGATTAATCATCGGCAATAAGAAACTAAAGCCAACATTACACGAAATCCGACAGTTGCGGCACGTTGCGTTGACGTAGATAGGTATATGGCAAACAAACGCATCATACATTCCAGCGGTAGTTTGTAATATGGTGATCAGCGCGTGAGTAAATGAGGTAGGTATTGCCTTGAGGTAAAAAATAACTCCCCCCCCTACTTTTTTCACGGAAATACACGTTTTGAAACACCCGCAATCCGAATCAAACGAAATCTCGATGATGTCGGTCCGTCTGTAGTCTCATGTCCGGCTAAACGGATGAATAGATTGGAAGCAAATTTGGCACACATATTTTTAGACATAAAAGAAAAGCTTTTGGACAGAACGTGCGGGTGGTATATCTGTGCTAGCCACAACAATTTTTATTTTTCATTTGCCTATTATATGTCAATTATATCTGTCATATGTGATATATGAAGCAGTCTATTACGCCCAAGGGCATAATGAGAGGGCATAATGGATTGTCATCTCATTATGCCCTCAAACGGCCTGTCAAATTGATTGACGGAGTTATATTATATCATAAAAAAGAGGCAACTTGATTCGTATTGAGCACTTTAATGTTGGGCAAACAATAATCATGACATTTGTATATTGGAAATGCATTCTTTGGAATGATGAAAAATAAAATGTTGTATGCACCTCAGCCATTACTCAATATTTAACCCTCGGGCCGGAGGCCCTCGGGCTCTGTCGCCCTCGGCATAAATATCGCCTTAATGCCCTTGATGCATAAATAACTATTTTTACTTACAATGGGCAAAAGTAATCAATATTGTAGTGTTTACGGATGTAAAAGTAATACACTTGCAAAAATTTCATTCGCAATCAATATAATTGCACTTTAAAGAGCAAGTATAGTAAAACGTCACAGTACTTTCAAAAGTTTTAAATCTGACCAGTGTATAATAATTATGCAACCACAAAAATAAGGATAATTTAAAATTACCATTGTCCAACGCATAACATGGCCAAAATTGTGAACAGTGCAATTAAAAAAAAAAAAAGTGATATAACGACATTCTTTGATACTTACCTACACTTAAGCTGCTATCAGTGTAATTACGCTGCAATTAATAGTGTTCGCTTAAAGGGTCACCTATTAACAGCATTAACACACAACCTTCTAAAAAATTTCATTTGTGATCAGTGTAATTATAAAGCACAACTTAAAATGGCATATTTTAAAGCATGCCTCATTCAAGAATTTAGGTGCAGTCTGTGCGACAATGCAACAAATAGTAAGAAATAATCGACGTAAGGGAATGTCGGTGAGTTGTTGTAAAGTTGAACGAGTGCGCTAAACATTGAATGATAAATTGCTATCTTTATTTTTAATTGGACTATTAAGTTAAATGCGGGTTCGAGCGGCGATTCGCACGCTTATATCGCTGTAGAAATATATCCCGCAGCCGCTCTCGTTCCCGCATTCCCACATCGATTTGAGTGGACCTTTAATCTGATTCGCGAAAGAAGACCAGTCTCAAACAGGGGTTTCCGGGTTTCCAGATCTGTGTGTATACGACCGTGATTAATTGTGAACCTACCAGGCTGTAGCTCTTCTCCCGCAACTCTTAACCTATTTAATTGGCCACGTTCAGTGCTTCGATCCACATTCTACAGGGCAATAGGAACACCCGTATAGTTTCTAATTGAAGTGAAAATAATTTAACCAGTGGAAATTGCCCCGACTACTGTCATAACAATTATGGGACCAGAGATATAGATCTACGTCACTGTATGGGACGTATCCAGGCTGTACTATGGTAGCATACATTTACATTAAGAACATACTATTACTGCTTTCCATTTGAGTGCGTGAAGCTTTGGTGCAGTTCGTTCGAGCAGCTCATTTTGCAAGTTGTTCATTTTTAACACATTTGAATTGACATTCACAGTACGTAAATAACCACAAACGTGTTTCAAGCCCCAAGCAAATAGGTGGTGCATGAGGGGACAAGGGAAATCCAATTTCGGGCGCGTCAGAGCTCGAAGCTTTCTTAAAAGGAACACAGGGCATCGTGCACGGTACAGCTTAGAGCTCCTCTTTCACTCAAATGGAAAGCAGTAAGTGTGTCTATGTTTAAAAAAGTAGTACAGAGTAAAACGCATAAGTTTGTCGAAAAAGTATCGATGACACGTTTCTGGAAAAGGGTTATTTTTTGCCTTGAAAATTTGCTCTGAAGTGCTACATTGTTGATCCAAAACTCTGCAAGTCAAAAAACATGTAACGGGCGATCAAAAATGAGTTGCTGTCGAGTCGCCTTTGGAAGTTCAAGTAACAAGTTAAGTACGATTTCCCATGTAAACAAAAATTCCAAAGGTGACTCGACAGCAACTCATTTTTGATCGCATAGTATAATGCCGCGCATTTTGGAGCACGTATCATAAATTCTTTGGGACTACTACTTCTTTACTTGTAATATTTTTATGAATGGAACTTTTTTAAACTTCGGTCCTTTGCAAGGAATTCAGTCACCCCAGCTTGATCAATTTTAAATATTCTCACAAAACGACACACCTCAAAGGATTTACTCTTTGATAACAGCATATCAGTAACAAAGGAAAGACTTATTGACATAATTGCAAGGAACAAAAGATTACCAACTCGCCGACAAGAAAATAACGCAATGTGTTTGGTTTTGATAAAGTTAATTAAACACGGCTGACTTATCATTATTATTTAAATATTGTTTATCCTAGTAAGCGTAATAATTGCTATTTAGTCTTGATATTCCGAGGAAAATGTGAAAGAAAAGAACCTCCTGGATCCAAAAATAAGTTATTAGCTATTTGTTGTATCTTTAGATTGTCTTAGCGTTGTACCGGGTGACCCAATGAGACTGTTCCTCGGCTATATCTCGAGAACCGTTCGTCATATGACTTAGGGATAAAAAAAATTATTGGGTAAATCGGTTATGAAGAATCGCTGGAATAGTATATTGGAAGACAAGTGTTACAATGTGACCTATTGTAATACGACTATTTTGTCCACAAGATAGAAGTGTTACAATAAAGCATTGTAACACGTGTTTTTCATACTATTTTATGGTGGATGTGTAAACTGCTGATTTGGAATGTATTAAGTTCTTCGTGTACCAAAAATCAAGGAAAACACATAAATTTTACGTACGTAATTTGATTTCACTTTCACATCTGATAATTTGACGTTGACGTCTTGGCAAACTACCAACTTAGAGATGAAAAGTTACCAAAAACAATGTTACAATGGAACTCATTGAAACACTGTTTTTACCGAAAACAGTTGCACAAAATTCTCATTGTAACACCGAAATAGAAAACATATTTTCAAGTTCTAAAAATGACCAACAGAGGGCGTAATTGCCATCTTAAATTTTAACTTTGCATTTTCTTTAAATTTCGCATAAACTCAAAAATTTTTTTTCACATTTTTAAAGAGAACCAGTTTATCTATGATTTTCGTAAAAACAAAAACTCAGTTATTTCAAAAACCAAGATGGTGTGGGGCGTTCAATTGCTTTTGCAATAACCTTCTTAACCGTTTGAACGATAAAGCTCAAATTTGAATTAAAGAGGCTTCCATCTTATTCCCTTAGCATGAGTATCTATCCCACTACAAAATATAAAAGCATTACGAATCGGGGTGTGATTTGAAATCTCATTCCCTTGGAATAGTTTGAAAACTAATCAGTAATATTATCTTCTATTGAATCAAGTGAAGGACATCGTTAAAGTTAGGCTTGGTTAGAAAATTAAATAAACTTTCAAATGACGTAACATGCAACATCATGCGCCATCAAAGTAAATGAAATGTGAAGATAAATTTGGTACAGCTCAGTACAAATTTGACGAATCCTAAATTTGGTCATCAGTATAACCGCTGATTTAAAATGAATGATTTTTATTTAAATATCACTTGATTCAAGTCCCAAAAAAAGCGCGCCAAGTGAAATCAAAGGCTAGAACAATGCTAATTTGTTACCTACTTCGATTGCAGATGTTTTGTTGCAAGCGTAGTTCGTTCCACCACTTCAAACAGTTGTAACGTTCTATTCATATTCCATTTAAGTAATTTGGTCTTACGTACAGTTGTACCTATTCCGCGAGAAGATTTGGCATTCACAGTGGGTTCGTTGCAAATTTTTCTCGATACGCCATTACTGTTACTTGACTTATTGTCTGCAAGCAAAGGGCTCTTTGTAGCGGATATCACCATATTTCTTAGGAGTGCTTTTCTCTATTTGTGATGTCTTGTGGCTCCTCCATTCAATACGCTGTGTAATCAATGCGAAGGCAGGATCTTCACTGAAAAGGAAGAAGTACGGCGAATGCGTACGCAGAAAGAAAAGAAGGAACAGAATTAGATGTCCCACGGAAAACATCTGCACGACCTCCGTCGGCGAAGTAAAGAACTATTGTAAAAAAAACCTATAACGGCAAAAATAAAGAACTAAGCAAAATAATTCGATTACAAAACTAACTTACATCTTTAAACTAGTGGATTACAAAGAAGATAGCGTAAGAATTTAAATAAGAGCACAAATCAAATAGATACTTAAATGAAATGCGAATCAGGAATATCAATCGGTAAGAAAATAACGTTACAACCACATGCCTGAATTCTAACCTCATATTTGTGTTTACATCGTGAAACGTATCGGAAGTGTTTAATAAATTTAACATGAACATAGAAATTGATGTCAAATTTACAAATATAAACCAAAACAATGAACACTAGCACAACACCACAATTAGAAACATGCGGATCCGACTTTATCCGATGCGAAATTGTCGTTTATAGCGTTACCACGACGATTACGGCTTTTATAAACCAGCCTTTACATTTTATAACGGATGGTATCAAATTTTCCTTCCATCCTTTCGAAAGCAGCTAGACGTAGGTAAAGAATAAAACTATCTTCCGGGGCATCGTCTGTCGGTGCCCCAAATGAGAGTATGATTGGCGTCTCCGCAAATGTAAAATACCTAAAAATTTTTACTGCAAATTTTCAAGTTTTTTTGCTCAAGCGCCAAAACGCAACTTAAATTAGGTAGTACACATTCTGCGGGTTCTGCTCCTACAGTCTTGACTAAATGCATTCGCGCACCTATCCGTAAAAAAGAAGTTCGTCCAACCAACCCAATGTTGCCAAAAAGTCATTAACGTCTTTTTCGACTTCAAAAATAGAAGAATGTGCCTACCCTCTTTCCGAACTCACGATCTGCCACTGCTTTCAAGTAGGTATTTGGTCATTTGCAGTGCAGGAGTAACCGTGACTTCCTTTGTATCAGTTCAGTTTTAATAACTTGTAAGTGACATTAACAGTCGAAATGAAAAGACATT